ATTTTCAGTAGAAACGGGGTTTCATCATGTTGGCCAGGCTGGTCTCAAACTCCTGACCTCATGCAATCTGCCCTCCTTGGTCCCCCAAAGTGCTGGGATTACAGGTGAGCACCGTGCCCAGCCAACAATAAATTATTTTTAAATTAATGTATGTACATTGTTTTTAAAGACATAATGCTATTCTATACTTAATAGACTACAGTATAGTATAAACAAAACTTTTATATGTAGTGGGAAATAATTTTTTCTTTTTTTGAGACAGGGTCTCACTCCGTTGCCCAGGCTGTAATGCGGTGGCATGATCTAGGCTTACTGCAACCTCTGCCTCCTGGGTTCAAGTGATTCTCCCACCTCAGCCTCCCAAAGAGCTGGGATTGTGCAGGTGCATGCCACCATGCCCAGCTATGTTTGTTTGTTTGTTTGTTTTGGAAACGGAGTCTTGCTGCGTAGCCCAGGCTGGAGTGCAATGGCACGATCTCGGCTCACTGCAACCTCTGCCTCCCGGGTTCAAGCGATTCTCTTGCCTCAGCCTCCTGAGTAGCTGGGACTTCAGGTGCCCACCACCACGCCCAGCTAATTTTTCGTATTTTTAGTAGAGATGGGGTTTAGCCATGTTAGTCAGGATGGTTTCGATCTCCTGACTTCGTGATCTGCCTGCCTTGGCCTCCTAAAGTGCTGGGATTACAGGCGTCAGCCACCGCGCCCGCCTAATTTTTGTATTTTTAATATAGACGGGGTTTCACCATGTTGGCCAGCCTGGTCTTGAACTCCTGACCTCAGGTGATCCATCTGCCTCGGCCTCCCAAAGTGCTAGGATTACAGGTGTGAGTTATGTGACTTGTTTTATTGCAGTATTCGCTTTACTGTAGTGGTCTGTAATTGAACACAAAATATCTCTGAGGTATGCTTTCATACAATTCAGTGATATGTATATATTCATAGAATTGGAATCATTGCTATCTAATTTTAGAATATTTTCATCACCCCAAAAAGATACCTTGTATCCATTAGCAGTCACCCCTCATTCCTCCTTCCTCTCAACGCCTGGCAACTGCTAAACTACTTTCTGTTTCTATGGGTTTGCCTATTCTGGACATTTCACGTAAATAGAAGAATACAATAGTGGTGTTTTGCATCTGGCTTCTTTCACTTAATCTAATGTTTTCAAGGTTTATTTATGGTATAGCATATGTCAACACATTTATTCATTCCTCTTTATTAAAAATGTTAATTGTGGTAAATACACATAACACAAAATTTACCGTCTTATCCATTTTTAAGTGTACACTTCGGTAGGGTTAAGTATGTTTACACTGTTGTTCAACCAATCTCTAGAACTCTTCATCTTGTAAATCTGACACTCTGTACTTATTAAATAACTCCTCATTCCTCCTTTCCCCCAGCCCCTGTCAACCACGATTCTGTCTCTATGATCTATTCTAGGTCCTCGTGTAAGTGAAATCATGCATATTTGTCTTTTTGTGACTGGCTTATTTCACGTAGCATAATCTCCTCCAGGTTCCTCCATGTTGTAGCATGTGTTAGAATTTCCTTCCTTTTTAAGGGTAATACTCCATTATATGTATATACCACAGTTTATCTATTCATCCATCAATGGACATTCAGATTGCTTCCACCTTTTGGCTACTGGGAATAACACTGCTATGAACAAAGGTGTACAAATATCTGTTTAAGCCCCTCCTTTCAATTATTGTTTTATTTTATTTTATTTTTTGAGACAGGGTCTCACTCTGTCACCCAGGCTGGAGTGCAGTGGCACGATCCTGGCTCACTGCAACCTCCACCTCCCGGGTTCAAGTTATCCTCCCACCTCAGGCCCGAGAGTAGCTGGGACCACAGGCATGCACCGCCACACTTGGCTAATTTTTTTTTTTGTTTTTGGTACAGAGGGGTTTTGCCATGTTGGCCAGGCTGCTGACCTGACCTCAAGTGATCTGCCTGCCTCGGCCTCCCAAAGTGCTGGGATTACAGGCGTGAGCCACCACATCCGGCTCCTTCTTGCAATTATTTTCGGTGTATACTCAGAAGTGGAATTGCTGGATCATATGGTAGTTTTATTTTTAGCTTTGTGGGGAACTGCCATACTGTTTTCTATAGCAGCTGCACCATTTTGCATTCGCATCAACACAAAGGCTCCAATTTCTTCCAGATGTCTGAACACTTGTTCTTCTCTTCTCGTCTCGTCTCATCTCTTTCTTTTCTTTTGGATAATAGCCATCCTAATGAGTGTAGATGGCATTCATTTTTTTTTTTTTTTTTTTTGCGACAGGGTCTCACTCTGTCACCCAGGCTGGAGTGCAGTGGTGCGATCACAGATCACTGCAGCCTCAGCCTCCTGGGCTTAAGCAATCCTCCCACCTCAGCCCCTCGAGTAGCTGGGACTACAGGTGCCCGCCACCACGCCTGGCTAATTTTTGTATTTTTTGTAGAGATGGAGTTTCACCATGTTGCCCAGGCTGACCTTGAACTCCTGAGCTCAAGTGATCCACCCACCTCAGCCTCCCAAAGTACTGGGATTACAGGCATGAGCCACCGCGCCTGGCCTGGCATTCCTTCATTCTTAATTGATATCTGACACACTGTGCTAGGTGGGCAAGAGGGTGGGCTATCAGTAAAAGAAACGTGTGAACAAGATATTAGATATAGTCCTTGCCTCAATCTTACAATCCATTTAAATCATACTTGAACTTCAACATTTATTAAGCAATTATCTTGTGCCAGGCACTGTGCTGAGTGCTTACTTAACTTGTTTTCTCTCATTCAGTCTTTTCAACAGCCCTTTGAGTTAGACAGATTGTCACACCATCTTCCAGGGGAGGAAAGTGCAACACATCAGTGATTTGCCAAATGTCTTCAGGCCAGAGTTGAAAGCCTGGCTGTGTATCTTTCACTCTGAAGCCTGTGTTCTTACTTTCAACAGAGGATGATATTAGCCCGATCTTGTTAACCTAACTTGCAGGGTTGGAGTAGCTGGCCTTGGTCTTCATAGATCAGTACAGGGCTTGCTAGGGCCCACATTTGAAATGGTAGTCTTCTGCTGTAATACACTTTTACCCCACTAATGGAGCTAGAATAAAATTCGTAAGTAGAAGGGATGAAGAATTCTCACCTGATGCCCTCCATCCTCTCCATTGCTGTTTTTACGGAGAAGGGAACAAGGCCCCCAAGCCTCCAGCTTGTGTCTTATCCAATGTCATATAGATAGTTACGAGAGGTGGGAGACCAGGAGCAGAACGCTGGTCTATGGACAAGTCTGGTTGTTGTTTATCCTAAGATTGCATTGTTGTTTAACACTTATACCAATTATATATTGTAAAATAAAAATCAAAATGGAGGCTGGGGCTGACCTTTGCCTCTGAGCCAGTGGCCTACAGCCAGCTCAGCAAAACTCATTAAGCCCCATTTCCTGAAATACTCACTAAAATTATAATGAACTCTTGAAATTTATTTCCTCCTTCGGCATGAATCAACACATTGTAGTCAATCAGCTATGGCCTAAGTAAGCTGCTTGCTCTAAAAGGAAAATATACTTTAAAATAACCAATGAAAATTAAGCTCTATGAACTTCCTCTTTTACTCTTTATAAGCCTTACTCTAACCTTTACAAGGAGGCCATTCTATGTGTGAACAGTTTGTTTCTTCCTCAATAAAAAGTTTATATCAGTCAGGTGCAGTGGCTCATACCTGAATTCCTAGCATTTTGGGAGGCTGAGGCAGGATTGTTTAAGGCCAGGAGTTTGAGTCCAGCCTGGGCAACACAGGGAGACCTGTCTTTAAAAAAATTGAAAAAACAGGCTGGGTGTGGTGGTTCACGCCTGTAATCCCAGCACTTTGGGAGGCTGAGGCAGGTGGATTGCTTGAGGCCAGGAGTTCAAGACCAGCCTGACCAACATGGTAAAACCCTGTCTCTACAACAAACACAAAAATTAGCTGGGTGTGGTGGCACATGTCTGTAGTCCCAGGTGCTTGAGAGGCTGGGGCAGGAGAATTGCTTGAACTGAGGAGGCGGAGGTTGCAGGGAGCCAAGATTGTGCTGCCGCAATCTAGCCTGGGCAACAGAGCGAGATCCTAGTTCAAAACACACACACACACACACACACACACACACACCCCCCACAAAGAACAAAGAACAAAAACCAAAAAAACAAAATCACCCAACAAAAAAGGTTTATGTTAAATTGAATGAAACCAGAATATGCTACTTCAAAATGTATCTTTTTGACATAAAAATTATTTTAGATCTAAAGACAATTAGGAGACAGCAAAAGAAGGAAAACTCTCTCTATCCTTCCTGTTCTCTGTCTAAAGACAGGAGATAAATTCTGCTTTACTGGAGACAGTTCTAAACTCTTAACAGACCAACGATAGCACAGAAGAGTCTGCAGATAAACCTCACTCCGTTAATTTCCTCCCATCGACTTACCTTTCCACAGTTTTCTGCTGTTGCAAGCCTAGAACTGCTTTCTTTTTTCTATCATTTCCACATAATTTTATTGTTCTTTGTTAAAGATGCTATATAAGCCAGAGTTCTAAGCCACTGCTTTGAGATATGTTTCCTTGAGGTTTCTTCTGTTTGATGTGTGCCACGGGCATTCATAAACTTGTTTATTTTTCTCTTGTTAATCTGTCTTTTGTTATAGGTGTCCCAGCTAAGAATTATGTAGGGTTGAAGGAAAAATTGTTTTTTCTTCCTGGAAAAGTAAAGCTCCCTGAATCTTCCTGTGACTATGTATATATAATAGAAAAGAAATACAGTTTACACACACACGTACACACACACAATTCTCACTGTGAGTATATAAATTGCTGAATTTTCTTTCAATTATATATACAGAAAAGAAATATATGTGTATATATATACTACCTGTGAATATATGAACTTTCATTTGAATATGTGTGTGTGTGTGTGTGTGTGTGTGTGTGTGTGTGTGTGTATATATATATATTTTTTTTTTTCCTTTTTCTCCCTGTGAGCCATTTTCTTCCTTGTTTGGTCAGCAACCACAGAGGCACCCAGAGATAAATCATGCTGGGAATCCCATTTCCCTTCATCAAGATTAGCCTAGGGTAGGTAGTGTGACCCAACTCCAGATGATAAGATAAAAAGGGAAGTCTGTTGTGCACCTGGAAAATATTTTTTTTTTTCCTGAAGAAAAAAAGTAGAGCCTATCAGGCAAAAGCTTTTTTCCTTATGCCTCTACCTTCCTTTTAGGCATTAGTGTGAAGACAGAGAGCTTGGCATGGTAGCAGCCATGATGTGTAGGCCTAAGGACTTGCTGCAGAGAGGCTGTCAGAGAGGGTCTGTGTCCTTGATGATTTCACTGAGCCCCTGATTTGGTCCTGGAGCTGCCAGCTTCCAGAAAAAAAACAAAACAAAACAAAACAAACCACGTTATTTTATTTTTTAGAGCAGTTTTAGATTCATAGCAAAATTGGGAGGACGATACAGAGGTTTCCCATACACCTCCTGCTTCCAAACGTGTCGGGAAGTCGAAGTCCACCTCCAATCCTCCTTAAGCTCTAATGCGGGCTCTTCTGTTGGATCTAGAATCCAAATTGACACAAGGCAGATTAACTAGAGAAAAACATATACATTTTATTAGTTTTACTTGTCCATGGGGATCTTCACAAGAGAGTAAAGTCCAAAGAAGTTGCCAAAGAAAGATGCTTTTATACTTTTTCTGTAAGTGGCACAAGGACAGATATAACCAGGTCTATGGGCATTTGTGTCTTTCTACAAGGTCAGGTTTTCATCGACACGGTCTCAATCACAGGAGCCACGAGTCTATGGAGTCCCCAAGGAGGCAATTCTCCTAGTACTTCCGTTCACTCAGTAGTTAGAGCTGCATGCACACAGGCTCAAGCCATTCCACCCGTCAGTCAATATTGCAAACCATACGTAATGATACACTTAATCAATATATAAATGTTACAGATAAACATTCCACAACAAAGTAACATTTTACATCAAGAGAAAAGGGACAGGGAAAGGGTTAACAAACCAGCCCAAGAAGAGTGATATAGACAAAAAGAATATCCTGGTCTGGCCTGAGAGGTCCGCAGATCTCGCAAGGGGGAGACTTTGAAGTGGGCAGAGCCTTTGCCTGGCAGATGCTAGGTGCTTATCACAAGTGACAGCAAGATCATGTCTTTCTTTCTTTTCTTTTCTTTTTTGAGATGGAGTTTTGCTCTTGTTGCCCAGGCTGGAGTGCAATGGCGCGATCTTGGCTCACCGCAATCTCCGCCTCCCGGGTTCAAGCGATTCTCCTGCCGTAGCCTCCTGAATAGCTGGGATTATAGGCATGCGCCACCATGCCCGGTTAATTTTGTATTTTCAGTAGAGACGGGGTTTCTCCATGTTGGTCAGGCTGGTCTCGAACTCCCAACCTCAGGTGATTCACCTGCCTCAGCCTCTCAAAGTGCTGGGATTACAGGCGTGAGCCACCGTACTCGGCTGGTGTCTTTTTTCTTTTTTTGTTTTTGAGACAGAGTCTCACTCTGTCGCCCAGGCTGGAGTGCAGTGGCATGTTCTTGGTTCACTATAACCGCCTCCTGAGTTCAAGCAATTCTCCTGCCCCAGGGCCCTGAGTATCTTGTGTAGCTGGGATTACAGGTGCCCGCCACCACACCCAGCTAATTTTTGTATCTTTCGTAGAGATGGGGTTTCACCATGTTGGCCAGGCTGCTCTTGAACTCCTGACCTCAAGTGATCCACCTGTTTCAGCCTCCCAAAGTGCTAGGATTACAGGCATAAGCCACTGTGCCTGGCCAAGAAGATGTCTGTTAAGATGGTCATTTCAAGCTGCTGAAGTCCTGCTCTTTTCCTGGACACAGAGTCCTCCAGTAAGGACTGATAGTAGAAGACTGTGCTTGGTTATGTCCATATTTGGATGGATTCAATCTTTATTAATCAGACGAAACATCTAGTCCCTGTTGGCAAAGTGCCTTATGAAATGTAAGATGGAGTCTTTTTCTAAGATGGAGTTACTTATGTCAAGGGTGCCCTACACAACTTTTAAGACACAGAACAATAAGTTTGAGAAGAAATAACAGGACAAAGAAAACCAGAAAATCTGGCTAGGGGCAGTAAATTTTCTAGGGGAGTCACTAGGAGATATATTGGGAAGGTGCAAAACTAGTGAAAGATAAGAATTACTTCATTTAGTGCACGCGTGCGTGCACACACACACACACACACACACTCTTAGGGTCTCACTCTGTCATCCAGGCTGGAGTGCAGTGGTGCCATCGTAGCTCACTGCAGCCTCAGTTCTGGGCTCAAGGGAACCTCCTGCCTAGGCCTCCCAAAATGCTGGGATTACAGGCATGGGCCACTGTTCTCAGTCCCTGTCAAGTATATTTATTCAGGTCCATTGCAGCCCTCAGTGCCCAGTGTCTGGTGATAAGGCCTATCTTCTTGCCCTGGTGTGGCGAGGGTACCCCTCCCAGAGAAGTCTTTATGGCTTGCTGTATGCAGGAAGAGAAATGTCAGCTAGGCTCTTCTGAAACTACGATTCCTCCAATGTTTTCAACATGATGTACACAATATACCAATCCAGCATGTTTTGGGATGGCATGTCCTTCACTCCTTCACATGTGTAGCCGCCAGTCATCAACATCCCCTACCAGAGTGGAACATTTGTTATAACTGACGAACCTACCTCGACACACCATAATCACCCAAAGTCCTCAGTTGACATTAGGGCTCACTCTTGGTGTTGTGCAGTTTATGGGTTTGGACAAACCTGTAATGTCATGTATCCACCATTACAGTGTCATACAGAGTAGCTTCACTGGCTTAAAAATCCTCTGTGCTCTGCCTAGTCATCCCTCTCTTCCCTGTAACCCCTGGCAACCACTAATCTTCACTGTCTCCATAGTTTCTCCTTTTCCAGAATGTCCAGACTTCTTTTTTGTTGCAGATGAATGAAGGTCTACAATGCTTAAGCCACTGTTGTTCAGGAATTCTGCTATTCGCAGCCAAACACATCCTAACTGAATTATTTCCCAACCGGATTTTAAGTTCTTTGAGGCAGAGACACTGCATTTAATGTATTTGTATTTCTCATAATACTATGGAAGATTTTCTTACATAGGGTAGGCACAAGTTTAATAAGTGAATGGATAAAAGGACAAATAATAGCAATCCAGTCTGGGCATGGTGGCTCATGCCTATAATCCCAGCACTTTGGGAGGTTGGATGGGAGGATCACCTGAAGCCAGGAGTTCAGAGGCTGCAGTGAGCTCTAATTGTACTACTGCACTCCAGCTTGGGCAACAGAGCAAGAACTCATCTCTTTAAAAAAAAAAAAAAAAAGGCAATCCAAAATACTCTGGCTCCTAAAATATGGGTCAGTTTGCCTGTGGATTGGGTGGCCATCCTGTAGTCAGACCCCACATTACAATAGCCTAATGAAATCAACAAATCTAGAGCTGGAATGGACTATACTGCTCAGGGTCACTGGGCCCAACCCTCTCATTTTACAAATAAGGACATACATACACAGTGCTTAATCGATATTTGTTAGTGACAAATACAGTGCTAGGTCACCCTGCTCCCAGGCTAGTAATCTTTCCATTACATTGTGCTTACTTATCTTGGCTCTTGGTTCCAACCCAGGCTCCTCCATCCCAGAATAGCTCCAGGCTCCCCACATTAGTGCTCCAATAATTGTGGCCTAGGCCTACTTGAGGATCTAGCCAACCGTTCTGACTTTGAACTACCAGCAACGGCCAGCAAGTACAAGGGGCTTGTGTAAGCATTACGGAAATGCTTGGAAAGGAAATGTGGGGTTCTAGCAGGAGTTATAGTTTTAGGGCAGACTTGAACAAGATGGGAGCAGACAGGTAGGTGGAAGGCAGACCTGCCTTCCCATTTATCAAGTTCCGATCATCTCAGAGAGGCTCCCTAGGGGCAGTTGCCTATCTTTCAGCCCTGATTCAGATCCTATTGTACTTGGTAGGTTGTAGGATTTACTCTGATGGTCAATTGTATGTGTCAACTGGGTGAAATGCCAGTCTAGATGTTGCTGTGAAGGTATTTTGGATGTGATTAACATTTAAATCAGTAGACTTTGAGTAAAGCAGATTACCCTCCATAGTGTGAGTGAGCCTCATCCAATCAGTTGACAGCCTTAAGAAAAAAGACTGAGATCCCTCAAGGAACAGAGAATTTTGCCTGCAAGCAGCCTTGGACTTGAGCTGTAGCATCGACTCTTCCCTGGGTCTCCAGTCTGCTGGTCTGCCCCTGCAAATGTTGGACTTGCCAGCACCCATAATCTCTCTCTCTCTCCACACACGCACGCACACACACACACACACACACACACAGACACACACACTATATCCTGTTGGTTCTCTGTTTTTTGGAGAATCCTAACTAACAAAGCTACCCTGAAGTCTAAAGATGTACGGCCATTGTACTCCTTATCAGTTGTTAGGGTAGCTATTTACAACTGGTGGGGATGGCTTAGCCCTCAGACTCTGTCTCATTGGGGACCAACAGGAAGCATGGAAAGAAATACAGTGCACCTTGACAGCCCTGTTTAAACAGCACCTGAAATCGTCAACAGCCTGCCCCTAAGGAACCTTTTTTAAAGTGGAGTTTTCTTTCCCCATTGTAGCTTTCTGTCTGTTCCATTCATCCTTCTGCTGTGGTTTGCTTTTCTCACTCTTATGGGAAACCTGCAAAACAGCTGCCTCCCCGACATCCCGGACTTCTTCACAGGGAGATAGTCAAGGAAATGATGACATGCCTTGGGAATTAATGGTCCATCTCCGTTCATTCCCAGAGCTAATCACTGAGCCAGCTATACAGGAGGCATCAGGGGAGGTGCTTTAAGGATGCTCAGAGACCTGGCTTGAAGCAATGAAAAATGGGTGTTACTGACAGGAGAGAACTGCAGAGCAGTAACTGCAGGCAGAACTAGCATGGGTGGGGATGGGGGCTGGAGGAATGGGAGAAGGTGGGGATGGCAGGCCTGGGCCTCCTTATAAATAGCAACTCGATTACCTTGTCAGCCATAAGACAGGACATAGAGGCTGCAGAGAGGGGTGGTCCTGACAGGTGTTTCTCTCCATGCAATGTACAATGTGCATCACGTTGCACTTCCTCTTTGGTGTCAGAGGTAGTTAAAGGCCTATTATCTATGTGACTACCATGGACATCAGATGCGTAAGAAATGACACTAATCACTTCCCCACCTTATTGTGAGCATCCATGGAGAGGATGTTGCGTTGAGGCACTTGAAGCTGCCCCAGCGTCCATTTTACTATTATCTTTGGTTCCTATAAAAAACTAACTCATTTTTTTCTCTATAAATTACCCAGCCTTAGGTTTTCTGTTATAGCAACACTAAATAGACTAAGTATCAAAGTCTAAACAGGAATTTTTTTCTTATTATGATTAAAAAACATATAACTTCTCTTGATAAGGCTGTCCCAGAGAAAAAACAAAACAGTCTGAAAACAGGAGAAAAAATGAATCCAGGGTTATTTGATAATTACATTTTAAGCTCATGCTCTCTACAAGGGTTGGGAAGAGG